ATCAGGTATAAAGGGTTTAGGAGGAGAGGCAGATATAGATGTGTACTGTAGTGTGCAGATCTAACAGCATCAGGTATAAGGGGTTTAGGAGGAGATGCAGATATAGATGTGTACTGTAGTGTGCAGATCTAACAGCATCAGGTATAATGGGTTTAGGAGGAGAGGCAGATATAGATGTGTACTGTAGTGTGTAGATCTAACAGCATCAGGTATAATGGGTTTAGGAGGAGAGGCAGATATAGAGGTGTACTGTAGTGTGTAGATCTAACGGCATCAGGTATAATGGGTTTAGGAGGAGAGACAGATATAGATATGTACTGTAGTATGCAGATCTAGCAGCCCCAAGTATAATGGGGTTAGGAGGGGAGGCAGATATAGATGTGTACTGTAGTGTGCAGATCTAACAGGATCATGTATAAAGGGTTCAAGAGGAGAGGCAGATATAGATGTGTACTGTAGTATGAAGATCTAACAGCCCCAAGTATAATGGTTTTAGGAGGGGAGGCAGATATAGATGTGTACTGTAGAGTGCAGATCTAACAGCATTAAGTGAAATATGTTTAGGAGAGGCAGATATAGATGTGTACTGTAGTGTGCAGATCTAACAGCATTAAGTAAAATGGGTTTGGGAGGAGAGGCAGATATAGATGCGTACTGTAGTATGCAGATCTAACAGCCCCAGGTATAATGGGTTTAGGAGGAGAGGCAGATATAGATGTGTACTGTTGTATGCAGATCTAACAGCATCAAGTATAATGGGTTAAGGAAGAGGGGCAGAAATAGGTGTGTACTGTAGTGTGCAGATCTAACAGCCTCAAGTATAATGGGTTTAGGAGGAGGGGCAAATATAGATGTGTACTGTAGTGTGTAGATCTAACAGCATCAAGTATAATGAGTTTAAGAGGAGAGGCAGATATAGATGTGTACTGTAGTATGCAGATCTAACAGCATCAGGTATAAAGAGTTTAGGAGGAGAGACAGATATAGATGTGTACTGTAGTGTGCAGATCTAACAGCATCAGGTATAAAGGGTTTAGGAGAGGCAGATATAGATGTGTACTGTAGTGTGCAGATCTAACAGCATCACGTATAAGGGGTTTGGCAGGAGAGACAGATATAGATGTGTACTGTAGTGTGCAGATCTAACAGCGTCAAGTATAATGAGTTTAGGAGGAGGGGCAGATATAGATGTGTACTGTGTAGATCTAACAGCATCAGATGTAATGAGTTCAGCAGTAGAGGCAGATTAGATGTGTACTGTAGTATGCAGATCTAACAGCATCAGGTATAAAGAGTTTAGGAGAGGCAGATATAGATGTGTACTGTAGTATGCAGATCTAATAGCATCAGGTATAAAGGATTTAGGAGGAGAGGCAGATAAAGATGTGTACTGTAGTGTGCAGATCTAACAGCATCAGGTATAAAGGGTTTAGGTGGAGAGGCAGATATAGATGTGTACTGTAGTATGCAGATCAAACAGCATCAGGTATAAAGGGTTTAGGAGGAGAGGCAGATATAGATGTGTACTGTAGTGTGGAGATCTAACAGCATCAGGTATAAGGGGTTTAGGAGGAGAGGCAGATATAGATGTGTACTGTTGTATGCAGATCTAACAGCATCAAGTATAATGGGTTTAGGAAGAGGGGAAGATATAGATGTGTACTTTAGTGTGCAGATCTAACAGCCTCAAGTATAAGGGTTTAGAAGGAGAGGCAGATATAGATGTGTACTGTAGTGTGCAGATCTAACAGCATCAGGTATAAAGGGTTTAGCAGGAGAGACAGATATAGATGTGTACTGTACTGTGCAGATCTAACAGCATTAGGTATAATGGGTTAAGGAGGAGAGGCAGATATAGATGTGTACTGTTGTATGCAGATCTAACAGCATCAGGTATAAAGGGTTTAGGAGGAGAGGCAGATATAGATGTGTACTGTAGTGTGCAGATCTAACAGCATCAGGTATAAGGGGTTTAGGAGGAGATGCAGATATAGATGTGTACTGTAGTGTGCAGATCTAACAGCATCAGGTATAAAGGGTTTAGGAGGAGAGGCAGATATAGATGTGTACTGTTGTATGCATATCTAACAGATTCAAGTATAATGGGTTTGGGAAGAGGGGAAGATATAGATGTGTATTTTAGTGTGCAGATCTAACAGTCTCAAGTATAATGGGTTTAGGAGGAGAGGCAGATATAGATGTGTACTGAAGTGTGCAGATCTAACAGCATCAGGTATAAGGGGTTTAGCAGGAGAGACAGATATAGATGTGTACTGTACTGTGTAGATCTAACAGCGCTAGGTATAAAAGGTTTAGGAGGAGAGGCAGATATAGTGTATTGTACTGTGCAAATCTAACAGCATCAGGTATAAAGGGTTTAGGAAGACGGGCAGATATAGATGTGTACTGTAGTATAGAGATCTAACAGCCCCAAGTATAATGGGTTTAGGAGGGGAGGCAGATATAGATGTGTACTGTAGTGTGCAGATCTAACAGCATTAAGTGGTATTGGTTAAGGAGGAGAGGCAGATATAGATGTGTACTATAGTGTGCAGATCTAACAGCATTAAGTAAAATGAGTTGAGGAGAGGCAGATATAGATGTGTACTGTAGTATGCAGATCTATCAGCATCAGGTATAAGGGGTTAAGGAGAGACAGATATAGATGTGTACTGTACTGTGCAGATCTAACAGCGCTAGGTATAAAAGGTTTAGGAGGAGAGGCAGATATAGTGTATTGTACTGTGCAAATCTAACAGCATCAGGTATAAAGGGTTTAGGAGGAGGGGCAGATATAGATGTGTACTGTAATCAGATCTAACAGCATCAGGTATAAAGGATTTAGGAGGAGAGGCAGATATAGATGTGTACTGTACTGTGCAGATCTAACAGCATCAGGTATAAAGGCTTTAGGAGGAGAGGCAGATATAGATGTGTACTGTACTGTGCAGATCTAACAGCATCAAGTATAATGGGTTTAGGAGGAGAGGCAGATATAGATGTGTACTGTAGTGTGCAGATCTAACAGCATCAGGTATAAGGGGTTTAGGAGGAGATGCAGATATAGATGTGTACTGTAGTGTGCAGATCTAACAGCATCAGGTATAAAGGGTTTAGGAGGAGAGGCAGATATAGATGTGTACTGTTGTATGCATATCTAACAGATTCAAGTATAATGGGTTTGGGAAGAGGGGAAGATATAGATGTGTATTTTAGTGTGCAGATCTAACAGTCTCAAGTATAATGGGTTTAGGAGGAGAGGCAGATATAGATGTGTACTGAAGTGTGCAGATCTAACAGCATCAGGTATAAGGGGTTTAGCAGGAGAGACAGATATAGATGTGTACTGTACTGTGCAGATCTAACAGCGCTAGGTATAAAAGGTTTAGGAGGAGAGGCAGATATAGTGTATTGTACTGTGCAAATCTAACAGCATCAGGTATAAAGGGTTTAGGAAGACGGGCAGATATAGATGTGTACTGTAGTATAGAGATCTAACAGCCCCAAGTATAATGGGTTTAGGAGGGGAGGCAGATATAGATGTGTACTGTAGTGTGCAGATCTAACAGCATTAAGTGGTATTGGTTAAGGAGGAGAGGCAGATATAGATGTGTACTGTAGTGTGCAGATCTAACAGCATTAAGTAAAATGAGTTTAGGAGAGGCAGATATAGATGTGTACTGTAGTATGCAGATCTATCAGCATCAGGTATAAGGGGTTAAGAAGGAGAGACAGATATAGATGTGTACTGTACTGTGCAGATCTAACAGCGCTAGGTATAAAAGGTTTAGGAGGAGAGGCAGATATAGTGTATTGTACTGTGCAAATCTAACAGCATCAGGTATAAAGGGTTTAGGAGGAGGGGCAGATATATTTGTGTACTGTAATCAGATCTAACAGCATCAGGTATAAAGGATTTAGGAGGAGAGGCAGATATAGATGTGTACTGTACTGTGCAGATCTAACAGCATCAGGTATAAAGGCTTTAGGAGGAGAGGCAGATATAGATGTGTACTGTACTGTGCAGATCTAACAGCATCAAGTATAATGGGTTTAGGAGGAGAGGCAGATATAGATGTGTACTGTACTGTGCAGATCTAACAGCATCAAGTATAAAGAGTTTAGGAGGAGAGGCAGATATAGATGTGTACTGTAGTATGCAGATCTAATAGCATCAGGTATAAAGGGTTTAGGAGGAGAGACAGATATAGATGTGTACTGTAGTGTGCAAATCTTACAGCATCAGGTATAAAGGGTTTAGGAGGAGAGGCAGATATAGATGTGTACTTTAGTGTGCAGATCTAACAGCATCATGTATAATGGGTTTAGGAGGAGAGGCAGATATAGATGTGTACTGTTGTGTGCAGATCTAACAGCCTCAAGTATAATGGTTTTAGGAGGAGAGGCAGATATAGATGTGTACTGTAGTGTGCAGATCTAACAGCATCAAGTATAATGGGTTAAGGAGGAGAGGCAGATATAGATGTGTACTGTAGTGTGCAGATCTAACAGCATCAAGTATAATGAGTTTAGGAGGAGAGGCAGATATAGATGTGTACTGTAGTGTGCAGATCTAACAGCATCAATTACTTTCATAGCAATCTAAACGGTATGGTTTTTTCTCATTGTTGAAGCTGTACGGTTTCCTATAATTGCTTAAATCCACCTCATTTAAACTTTGGTGGATAGTTTTCTCATTGGCAATCATACCACATCTGCTTTTTTATAGCAATGTCCTTCCAAAGTTAACTCGAAATTTTATTTGGAAGAGCCAAAGTCTATCTGCAAGTAAGATTTTTTGAAATTTTCACAAGCTTATGCCAAGTGATTTAGGAGCAGTTGCAAATACAAAAGTTGTACAGATTAATGAACGGTGGAAAGCACAGACAAATGTAAAAACTCCCCCATCACTATATACCCCCTTCTTTAATAGTAATGTGCATAAAAAAACAGGAAAGATGATATGGTCTTTAGTCAAAAGAAATAAAAGATAGACAACATTTACTGTCAACTAAACATTTTTATTTAACATAATCACCTGCATAGAAAATGGCAATGAGTACAAAAAGATTATGATCAACATTCTATATTTAGCACCTAAAATTGTCCAAACTAAGGACAATAAACATTCTAATATCCCATTCACTTATGAAATTTTCACAAATACAATACAGACAATTTACTTCCTGTTGTGCAGAACATAAATGTGTATGTACCACACTAATCAAAATTTTTTTATAAAAATTTCTTTCCAAACTGCACATGACAATGCTATTTTGAACTTCTAACAAGAACATTTAAATAATTTTTCTTTTGAAGCCACAAGTTATGTTATAACTCTTATGAATGCTGTAATATAAAACAAAAGTAAATGTTCACTTGTGTATTGACGTAACACACTTGATTGCAAGTCTTGAATAATTTTATAAAATAGTTTGTGAAAATTACTCGTGTTTTCTGTTTTATTTTAATACATTCAAACATGCAACCAAAATACCTAGATGTCATTTTGTTTAACATATTGGAAGGTTGCTGTCATATTGATGTATACTCAACATATTTATTAAGCAATGATTGATTAATATTGAGAGAAAGAAACAATCATCTTGTGTATGCTTATTAGGAGAAAGATACAGTAGAACCTCTTATTGAATCTTTTCAAAAGTGAATCAAACAATTACACAAATGTTTAAGAGTTCTAAGAGAAGAATTTGGTCCAAAAAATTAACTCTTTCTTTTAAATGAGTTATGAATATGAAAAACTGCAAGGAAAAAACTTTCATATACAAATAAACAACTTTTGACATGAAAAAGTATAAAATTATGATTATAAGAAGGAAAAAATACTTCAGTCTCAATAAAAAAAATATTGTGAAAATTGACTAGAATACTTATAGTAAGAAATAAATACTCAAGATACATGTACACTGTAACAAAAATACACTTGTTTCTGACAATTTTAAACATATTTAAAACAAAAATTATATTATACAAAGTGTATATATTCTGTAAAAAGCCATAATATCTGTTATATGCCATTATAAACAATTTGAGTTGATTAAGCAACTGACATAATTAAGCATTTTACCATTGTGTCAAAAATGGTCCTTTATTTCGTATCTTCTACATAAAACTTGATTTCTTTAAACAAACACACACAAAATCTTCTTGAACATTAATGCCTTTTAGAACAAAAGATTAATCTTCTCATTTGAAATACAATACAAGCTGAACACAATAACAACATACATTTATAAACCATTTTTTATCTGTTTTCATGCAAAATTCAAGCAAATTTATTTACAAAGGTATAAAAATAAATATTTTTTATCTTAATATTACAAAATGTATAAAATCTTATAACAGTTCATTCATCATACTACATATATACCTATTTTCGGTCCTGTTGTTATTTATCAAAATATTCAAAGTCATCACAAACCTTCTTGTATTTAAAGTTAAAGTTTTGTTTTTATTTCAGGTTAAAAGGCATCCTAAAACAAGAAGTAAACTTATCCTTTGAAAAGGCTAAACACTTATTTGCCTGACAATCCTATGAAAACCCTTGATTACCTTTTTTTCATTTTATTAACTCTTCAACATTTGTATTCTGCTTTGGACTTTCAAATATTTTGACCTCAAGCATCACTGAAGAGACATTGAATGTCGAAATAATCATCTGGTGTAGTAAAATTTGTACAGTTAATGTTATTGAACTGTAACTTAGTTCAAAAGCCAAAACAATTTTCTGAGTTAAAAATGTGCAAGTGAATGCCAATTATAAAAATAAATGTTCCTATTTGCTAAAATCATACATTCATTTTTAAAACCACATCCTCCTATAAAAAAATATGTTGAGTTCTTATATGTTTCCTTGGAATAGCTCCTAGCTCATTAACTACATTTTGGCTTACAGAATATTTTGAGCAATAATTGAGTCAATTATTTAATTAAATATACATAATCAAATTGATTAAAAAGAATAGTAAACTCAAATACATTTAAGCAACAAAAACTATACCTTAATATCACATGGTCACAGATCTATTCTTGTAGCAATATTTTGATGTCAATCAAACACTGTAGATTCATTTAATATCAATTTTAGATGGTCTCTTGTTTCGTTGTAAATATTTGTAACTGGTTTACTTTTTAAATTTGTTGTTTTCCTTAAGTTACCAAAAAAATCCATGAAAACTGATATACTATGAATAATAATATTTTTTTACAAAATAAGTTAAGAGTTAAGTTTAAGTAAACAATTCAATAAAACACTGTTAATTATCACATTTTTTCAGTTAAGTTAAACATTAACATTTAGGAACGAAACATTCAGATAAATGGAAAACATCACATGCATTTTTTTTTTTAGGTTCCCATTTCAATATTTCAATGTATGCTATTCTCTCTATCATTGAGATCTATGTAAAATATTTCTTGAGAACTCTGTAAGGAATATCCCTGGAGATCTATGTAAGGAATATCCCTGGAGATCTATGTAAGGAATATCCCTGGAGAACTGTGTAAGGAATATCCCTCGAGATCTATGTAAGGAATATCCCTGGAGAACTCTGTAATTAATATCCCTGGAGATCTATGTAAGGAATATCCCTGGAGATCTATGTAAGGAATATCCCTGGAGATCTATGTAAGGAATATCCCTGGAGATCTATGTAAGGAATATCCCTGGAGAACTCTGTAATTAATTTATTAAAACTGTGATTAAATGTTATTTTAAGTCAGTATTTTTCAATTTCCTCCCATCTTAACTGATCCATGGCACTGATTTTAAATCTTTGTCCCCAAGCAGAGGCCTGTTAAAAAGACATTATATATAGAGGCTTTAATTTAATATCAACATTTACTGTAAAAAGCTAAAGAAGAAGATCCGGGAAGGGCTAATTTTGGCCTAAAATATGAAGTACATCTGATTAAAGATTTTTGAAAATAAAAAAAAAAGTATCTGCTTCAGTCTTTCAATTAGTTTATGTAAAAGATTTTTACTGATTTGTTCATTAAAATTAAATATGAAAATCTTTCAAATATGCCATAAAACGTAATTTTCAGATTGGTTTTGTCTAAAATGTAAGTGGCTGCTTTCGTGTTTAGTCTCAACCTTTATATATGTTATGTATTACCATCAAATACAATACATAATTAAATATCAAGACTGAACACAAGTACGGCCACTTACATTTTAGTAAAAAAAACGTCTAAAAATAAGCACAAATGCTAAAATTGTTAAGATTTCATTATTGATGGATGAATTAATGATGCTATTACCTGATGCATGTGCATTGTATTGTCAAAAACAGCCCATATTTATGTAACAAAAGTAGTCTACTTTCCAATAAATAGCTAAAATTATACATTTTTAACAAATTTGTAAAATGCTATATTTTGGGGCCAAAAAGGGGTTTTACTGGGCCTACTCCTTTTGTAACTAGTGAAATCTATGTTTTACTCTGTGAAACAACAGATACATGTATTCACAGACTAAGACTCAAATGATATCCATAACAAATAAAGTAAACAAATTAAATGGTATGTTTAAAATTTAAAATGATCAAAGCATCTAAAAAAATAAGATAAAAACTTAATTTTGTGATTAATACCCGTTGCTAAACATTTGATTTACAACAAAATTATAATGCTGACAAACTCACACATTAAATAAATTAAATATCAATACAACAACTCGTGAAAGACAATTGTTCAGGCCAAGTCAAACAGATCTTTGACCCATGGTCAGAGACAATATTCAGGCCAAGTAGGTCTGAGTTACAGACCAAGGGCCAAGGCTACACAATTTAGGGGAAAACATTAAGGCAAAGACAAGATTGTTCTACGACACAATAAATTCAAAAACAAATCAAATATGTCATAACTCTGACATAAATTAAGGTTAACTCTGATTAAATTATTTGTCCCATGAATAAAAATTGTTAAAACTATTAAAAATAGCGCAGCCAGATTTAACTTTTGACAATTCATATATGTTTATCTAGTAAGAATTATATTATGAGAGATGAATCAAAACAAATGTCAAGTTACCATGAAGTTAATCAAAGATGAACTTTGGTCATATTCTTCTGTAGTTCATTTCCTTACATGTGAGACATAACACAGAATGTTTGGTCTATGAAAGTATCATCCTTGGCCTAAAACATCATTCTACAGAATGTTTGGTCTATGAAAGTATCATCCTTGGCCTAAAACATCATTCTACTAACTTCTACTAAAATAGAATCACTCTTCTATAATTCTAGCACTGATTGATATGTACGTAAGAATAGCTGTCTTTGGAATCATATACATCTCGAAGGGTTCAATATTTCAATCACAGTTTAATTGTCATTAAATTAGATTTGAAAATACTCATGGGCACAGGATCCCAAAATATCTATTTATAAACACAAGGATCACAGAAAGCCTATTTATAGACACAATTCTAAATTAATCTACCATATAAGGTCAATGGCAAGTTTATCATATAATTTGGCAATATAAAATGAAAGCATGTTATATCTCTGTTGTCTGTAAGCCTTCTATCATTCTTGTATCAAGAGCACCATTTGGCATGTTACCATTAGAAATTTTTCCATTTTTAGTCTCGTTATTATTATTTCTCATGGCATTGTGTGCCTGTAAGGCAGCTTTGATGTTCATATCAGGAGAACCAATATCGTTATGTTTATTATTTTCCTCAGAGAATTGTAAAGAAGCTTCCTGTTCATCATAACGATTAGGATTTGGAGGTCCGACAGCATTATCATCAATAGAGTCACTATCTCTGTAAGAAAGAAAGAACTTGATTTGAATAATCTGATATTTATGATCATAAAACACCAAACAATAAATAAACAATATTATTACACGCAAACAATATTTACTGATCTTTCTGAGCTAAGCATATTAAAAGTTTTTATTTGAAACTTTGACATACTTTACTTCTGTACAAATTATTTTCTATTTGAGATATATGGACCAAGGGAGGGCATTTTTTTTTATTATTACTGTAAAATAGCAATCCAAACAGGCAATTTTTAGTTTTAGATAATTTTTATTTTGAATACATTTACAAGAAAACCACTTAAATAAATTTTTAAAAGTGGTATAAAAAAGTTTAGTTTTACATGTAAAGTTTAAGAACGGCTCATATTTTTTATTTTGGAAGATAAGTTTTTTCCTCACTTATTTATGGTCCATCCTTATAGCTCATGGGATTAAAAGAATGCCCTGAGTTAGGAAAAGTTGTCACGTGTATGATCCTCAAACTTAAAAATTACAGAACAATCTGTTCAAGATTAAAAACAGTGACCCTAGTCTTAACTGTATCTCTGTTTCTTAAAATTTTTTTTTTTTTATCTTTTCATTTCTGATAGAATATCTCTCTGTCAGTATTTCTTCAAATTCAGATTTCTTGATTATATTTCTTTCTGTTTAACTTCAATTATTTACAAAACATGCAAATATGTGATTGCAAATTAAAGACCTCATACAGGTGATTGGAAGAGTGGCATAAGGTAAACAATGCATGGGACATAAATATACAGGCTTCAATAATGAGCAAAACCTATACTGTATACTAAGCTATAAAAAGCCATGGTATGACAAAAGTTAAACAATACAAAAGAGTAAAACAAATGGCTGGATTCATGTTGAAATTAATAACTTCATACTTCATTGTTTATGGAGTCATTTTTTAAACAGAATTAAGTCAATACTATCTATTATTTGCAACACAAACGGGCTATTCCTATTTAAAATGCACTACTTTGAAGAAGTTAATTAAATATATTGGATTATTGTGTATTAAAAAAGAATGCAACTACTAACAGTCAATGTAAAGTTTTCCTCAATTTCTCATTTAAAGGCATAATTTCTTTGATTTTGTGTTTGTTCTTAACAAGAAGGAAGAAATAAAAACAAATAAATTCAAAGTTCAGCAATTAACCTTCAGGTATTTGATTTTGTGATATTTTTAATTTATATACTACCTATGTCATACTGGCAAGGAAATGGTGTTTATTAAAGCACTGGACTGAATGAATCGTTCATACATATAGATGGTGTTGTGATTGAACTAAAAATGTGAATCAAACATGTGATATTTTCCATGACTTGTGACAAAAAAAAAAAAAAAAAAAAACATTTTATAGTATTTATGAATATATATACCATGTCTCAGAGACCTGCTGTATTTCACTGATAAAAAAAGAAGTATAAGAACTCGTCACTATTAAATCTTCACAATGATTTATAAAGGTATAAAGATCAAGTATAAATACTGAACAAAAATTCAGTCATAAACAACAGAAACCTTTGTAAATATTGTCTGATACATGGCTCATCTGTCTATTTTTCCTTAGACTTCCAAGGAAGGCATTGAAATCTTACATTTGATATAGGATGATTTTCTTTTAAGATACTAAGGAGACATTCAAAACTCAAAAGTCGAGGAGAAACTGACATGGAAATTACTCATCAAATTTTCAAACACAGAACTTTAGTAGGACTTGGTATGATAATACTTACGCCGGATCTCCTGATTCCTCCAATAAAATTTTCTCCAGAAATATAGGATTAGCACTAAAATAGAGTAAAAAATTGTTAAATACCATCAATTTAATACAGAAAAAAAACAATGCCTCTTTAAAGCTGGCAAAATCTTCATTTGGTAACAATATTATTTTGCATATAACACTGTGACAATTGCACTCTATAAAGAGTAGACAATAATCAACAAGATTAGGCTGTTAGTTTTCTCGTTTGAATTGTTTTACATTGTCATTTCGGGGCCTTTTATAGCTGACTGTGCGGTCTGCGCTTTGCTCATTGTTGAAGGCCATACGGTGACCTATAGTTGTTAATTTCTGTGTCATTTGGTCTCTTGTGGAGAGTTGTCTCATTGGCAATCATACCACATCTTCTTTTTTATACTTATCTGATTTAGTGTTAATCTTATGGTTTCTGTTTTGTATATTGCAGTTAGTATTTTGTTTAAATATTGTGTGTTGTACTCTCAAGGTACTTCGTTTTGTTTGGGTTTTTTTTAATATATCAATTTAATTGTATCGAAAATGTTTCATTTAAGCAGACAGCCTGTTTAAAACAGACAGACTCCTCCTGTTATCCTCCTATCATTACTTTATAACTTTAAATAAATTTGTGCACAAATCTTGATGGCGGGTAAATTTTTTGCATAAATTCTTAATAAATCTAAAGCTAAATAATATTTGGTCATATGTAAAATTATAATACATGTATTTAATTTGTGTTTGTTATTTTATCTTCTTATCATTTTCACCCAAATTTCTAAAATATTTAAGGCACAACAAAAATCATTACCAACATATACACTGCATGAAAAGGTTGATTTGCATTTCTTTACTCGTGTATATAAAGCGAAGGCAAAGATAGGCACTTTGTTGCACCATATATCTCAATACCCATTATTTGGTGAATAAATACATGATAAATTTGCATTCGTACACTATATATGCAAAGAAATTGCAAAAATTATGCTAATCTTTCCTTAACTTTCAAACAACGTTAAATGTAAGTAAAGTCAATGGTCTTATTTACTTACATTTATAAAGTACTGAAACGTATTTAAATGTTAATCTTAATTGGTTGTTTTGTCGTCCTATATAAATATATGAAAGACCGCCTTTTACATTGAATTTACAACATCGTAAAACATAAGCAAAGAAGACACTTGTATTTGCGTTCTATTCGCATAGTGTGTTAGATATATGCAAAGCTTTCCCATATCTTTGCAAATGTTTATATAGCTTCCGAAATATATTTAAATATGAATCTAAAATAGTTGTTTTGTCGTCCTATTTAAAGATATGAAAGGCCGTCGTTTACATTAAATTTACAAACATCGTAAAACATTAACAAAGTAGACACTTGTATTTGCATTCTATTTGCAAAGTGTGTTAGATATATGCAAAGCTTTCCCATATCTTTGCAAATGTTCATATAGCTTCCGAAATATATTTAAATATGAATCTAAATTAGTTGTTTTGTCGTCCTATTTAAAGATATGAAAGGCCGCCTTTTACATTAAATTTACAAACATCGTAAAACATAAGCAAAGTAGACACTTGTATTTGCGTTCTATTCGCATAGTGTGTTAGATGTATGCAAAGCTTTCCCATATCTTTGCAAATGTTTATATAGTTTCCGAAATATATTTAATTATTAACCTAAAGTAGTTTTTTAGTCGTCCTATTTGATGATATGAAGGGCCGTCTTTTACATTAAGTTTACAAACATAATCAAACAAAAACAAAGTATATATCGTATTTGCATAATCTTTAAAACTTGGGTAAAATGTATAAAAAGGTTTCCCCATGTCTTTGCATATATATACGTATTGATGAATTTATACGCAAATTTTCGGCCGATAGATATATAGCATTATGACTTTAAAAAATACAGACATATTTTACATACATAAATAAACATAATGGAATGTTTTGCAAGTCTTTGCATATCCTCTGCTTTGTAAAGTTTTCCTATTTTTTGAAACCATTCGTATTTGTAAGAATTGATAATATGTAATACTGCATCATCAGATCCGATTCTTCAAATGAATATGCTGTTTCATTCAAAATCCATTACATATAGAAAAACGTACTATAATAATACCAATTTGGAATAATCTTTTATCAATTTTCTTTTCTTTATTTTTCTCTTTCTTTTCGTCGATTATTCAGTATTATGTAGCTATACATGTTCAGTAGTTGTCGGTGCCGTTGGTTTTTCCCATTTGAATAGTTTTACGTACACTAGTCATTTTTGGGGCCCTTTATAGCTTGCTGTTCGGTGTGAGCCAAGGCTCCGTGTTGAAGACCGTACTTTGACCTATAATGGTTTACTTTTACAATTGTGACTTGGATGGAGAGTTTTCTCATCGGCATTCATACCACATCTTCTTATATCTAATGACTTTTTTATTAGATGTAATGCTTTTGGTGTTCATTTTATTTCATGGTTTCCAAAGATTGCCGTGCATTTCGGCATGGGAGTATTATATTGACTTTTAATTTACTTCAATGATTTGAATAAATGGTATTTACTCCCAAAAATACACATTGCAGAGAAAACATTTTGACAATATTATAATTAGAGCAATAAAATAGGGTTAACTATTAAGACAAAACTTCACTATAATTTTGTATAAATTCACTTGTTTTGAGTTTTATTTACATAATATAAAGAACCTAAAGGTATCAAGATTTTGTAAAAAGAAAGAAAATACAGGATATTTTTTAATTGATAAATCCGGGAACCAACTCACAACTTGGTCATCTAATTTTTAATGTTCACACGTTCTAAGCAGTTTTTGTATTGTTTATTTAATAATAGCAAGTCAAGAATAATTTTTACATGTAGGACAAATGTTAAATCACAATAAATATAGGAAGATATATATCTATAATGGAGACTTTAAATTCTTGTATTTCGTTTGTTGTGTCCATAAAACCATTTGTATTTTTCAGTCATTGGCAATGTCATTACGTAACCAGGCGACGTGATTTTACTGATTTTTTTCACACGGGTGTTAATTGTAGAGCATCTCTGCATGTTCTGATAAAAATTCTGTCTTAAGTTTCTGATGTTAGTATATAACAGTGGGATATTACTTTGTTGTTTTATGAAATTCACACCTCTTTGTGCACAATATTGTACTATTTAGAAGTTAACAAAAAATATTAACATAATTATGCGAAAAATCTTAATTGAACCATTGAACTATTATAGTCAAATTATAATGCTTCAATGATTGAACTTACTTGTCCAGCTGTGTAGAAAATATGGATGAAAGAATACGAGAATACAAAAGTTGGAAATAAAAATGAACTTGATAAGACGTTGTAATCTCCCTGTAATGTATTTCCATACAAGTTTTCTAAAAACTACATTGAAAAAGAAACTCAAGTAAAAAGTAACTAACCAATGCCGTGCTTATGAGAACCCTCGTTTATATATGTGAGACATGAAACTGATCAGAGTGAATGTTACCATAAAATAAAAATTTATAGAATACATTGGCATTTCACATGATATGAATATAGATTTCATACAGCTTAAAATTTTATATAGAATAAATACTGGATAAGTGTTTAATGTTCAGTGCTAAAAATCAGACAGGTTTCCCTTAACACACACCACATTATTATATATAATAAGTATTTTATAACACTCGTTTTATTGCGTAAATCAACATAATATATTCTAAAGGAGTAGGGACAAATTCCCCTGATTTTATTTACACAACTGCCATTCTCAAAGTCTTTCAATCTTCACTTAAATTCATAAAATCAAAGCCCAAGGTATGAACTTTAAGGTTCTTACACTGTTATGGCTTATTCCTGAACAGGCATCAAAACGCCGGAGACAAATATTTAGCATTTTTTCCCAAAAATGTATAAATGTTAACCACTATAAAAAATATGTTGGAAGAAAAGGTATCTATTGACTCTTGGATACACATATTATATTTGTTATGGATAGCGATGTCTTCCGATCAGCGCTTTGCCATTGATTTGCGTCAATCGGTATTTCATTTGCGCCAAAAATACTGGGTGAAATTAAAAAAAATTGGAATTTAAAATTGATACCATAAGTTGGAAAAGTTTTTAAGGAACAAAATAAGCTAAAAATATTGATAGGTTATGGAGATCCTTTTCGGGATATTTATTTTTTTTAAATGGCAAGAAAAGGCTGACTCGGACTTTTACCTTATATTTGCTTTGGTATTATTTGGGTCTCAAATCGAAAAAAAAAGAAATCTAGAATCTGCGTAAATTTTGGTAAAAATATGAAAAGAAAAATGGGTGTTATGGGGCAAAATATTTTACCCTGTATCGTAGGAAAAAAAGCAAGGAGTCCGAACATCTGACACAAATTCCCAAACCTGACCTAAGTACATCCTTAAAACAATATCTTCAGCTTTTGTTGCATCATAAAACTATGTGCATCTTAATCTGTTGTCGCAAAAATTCTTTTTGGCAGCTATGGTATACAAATAAGGAGATGTGGTATGATTGCCAACGAGTCAACTATCCACCAAAATTCAAATTCAATTTGATGTAAGCAATTAAAGGCAACCGTACGAGTGATTTGGTCGCATCAAAATATTATTATTCTTATTCATCAACTTGTAAACATGTGTATTGAGGGGTGATCTTTTCAAATCATTTGATATATTCGGATTTGGCCAGATTTCATGGTATACTGAACATGGACGCAAGAGAGTACGAGTTGGCCATGATGTTATATGGACATATATATTTAATGTACATGTAGTTTTATTTTAGTGTGAAAAGGTTTATTTGATCGAAGTTCATTTTTATGAAGCAAAGGAAGAGCTTATACTTAAAATGACTGCTTTTACAACCCTAAAGAACTACGAAACTGTCGGTTTTAATCCTTTAATACATTTAAATGCTGAAACAGGGAAAGAATATTCTTACTAATTGACAAAAGGTTGCAATGGAGAGAACGTGCAATTATAATGGAAGTATACATTTATTATATACCTAATCACAATAAAATACGACGTGGTTGTTTAT